GGTCTGGATTTTGTGTGGATTAACCAGCAGATTTGCCCCCGTGTGATGTGAGAGTCACCAGTTTAGCTGGGTTTCAAAGGGAAATGAGAGCCAGTGTGGCATGGTAGTTTGAGTGTTGGACTATGACTCAAATCCATGTTGAACCATTAAACCAACTGGGTGACCTTGGCCAAGTCACACCCTCTCAAGCTCAGAGTATGGCAATGGCAAACCCTCACTGAGGAAACTTGCCAAGAAAACCTATGATAGGTTGCCATAAGTTGGAAACAACTTGAAGGCACACAACAACAACAATAATAAAAGGGGAAATCTGTAGAAGATGCAGCACTTCTGATCATGGGAGCAACAATTTACTTCACTAGAAATGCTCCACTGCCTACCAGCTTGTTTCAAACAGGATACCCAGATCTCAGGGCCTGGATCCTTTTCTCCAGTCTTCAAGGCAAGGGGGAGGAATCCCCACGAATCTCAAGAATCATAGCAAAAAAAATTAAAAATTAAAAGCATGGAATAAAAACAGTCTTGGCCTGGATGGCCCTTGCGGTCTCACACAACTCTAGGGACTTTATCACACGTGAGCCAGAAAGCGAAAATAAAGTGGAAATGAGGCATTCTGAAAATAAATGGAAAATAAACCTTGATTCCGCAAATGGCTTTCACACGTAATTACCTTAATTGCGAAATTACAGTAAGCGCATTTAACGTTCACACACAAGTGAGAAAAGCCCGTAAATGTACTAGAAATGAGCTTCTTGTGCATGCGCAGATACAGGAATGCTCGCTGGAACCATGGGAAAAGCAAGGAAATGCTCCCAAATTCGCATTTGCTTTTCACATTACGGTAAATGCGAAATTACCTTAATTTTGCATTTGCATTTCCTCCAAACAACCGAATTTCAAAAGATCTCAGTTAACACCAGTTTCTGTTCACTTTCTGTCCAGTTTATGTGCAACTTCGTGTGAAAATGTGGGGCACAAATCCCGTTTCTGTTTGGGATTTGTGTGGATTAACCAGCAGATTTGCCCCCGTGTGATAACGTCCTAGGATTCTCTGATTCTGTGTTTTTCTGCATGGCAGAAGCAGGTTGGATGGGCCTCGGGATCTCTTCCAACTCTATGATTCTATTATAATTTTCTTCTTGTGTGATACCCAGAAGAAACCTTCTAGTGACCAAGGGAAACCAGATGGTAGACATCACCTACTAGCTGAACCTTTGAGTCCCTGTTGGATGAGCTGCTGCAATATCACAGAAACCAAGCAAGGAGAGCTGTGCATTCAGGATTCAGCACCTTCTCACATGCCCAGAAAATTACTCAGAAATGAAAAATGAGTGACAGTGATGTAGCTTTCTTTCAATCCCTACTGAATATGCTTTCTTTCTCTGCTTGCATATTAGAGTTTTGAAAGGCTACTGTCAACATGCCTCTCGCGTGGCTGCATTTTTGAAGGCTTGTTTTGTTTTGGAAGAGTGTTACGGTTCTTGAGTGTGACGGTCCAGGAGAAAAAATGCTCTTCTTTATACACAAAATTCTTGGACATCGATCTGTTGAAGAGGGAACATGTGAAGATTCCAATTTTTGTGCAAAGCTGGGGACAGACTAGCCAGAAAAGAAAGCCTTTTACAGAGGTCTTAATCCACAAAAGCCATTTCTCCAAGGTTCTGGTCTGCAGACCCTAAGCAAGGAAAGTTTTTTAGGGCATTTTTAGTTTTACTTTTGTTTGTCAACATCTGCTGGAAAAAATACCGGTACTGCAATTTTTAAAAATTAAATGATCCTTCTGCTGAAAAATTGCTTAGAAAGGAAACCAGCAATGTGCAGATCTCCAGATGTTAATGCACTGCAACACTCAGTAGCCCTGGCCATAAGGTTGCCTGCTACGACAAGAGGCAGGGCTCCTGTCTTTTTAATGGTTGAGGGAATGCATAGAATCAACACCTGATGAAATTCCCTCTTCTACACAACCCTTAAGGGTTAAGGTTCCTGTCCTTTGCCTCACCTGGTAACCCTGGCATAGTGGTTTGAGTGTTGGATTACGACTCTGGGCACCAGGGGTCAGTTCCTAGCTTGGCCAATCACACTCTCTCAACCTCATCTGAACAACATTGCAGAGAAAACCCCATGATAGGGTCACCATTAGTCAGAAATGGTTTGAAGGCACACAAGAACAACAACCCTACCTACCATGAGAGCCAGGGTGTTGCCAGGAGAGCAGGGATTGCTTTGGGGCCCCTTCAAACTCCCTGGACATCTCCACCGGTCATTAAAACAAAGCAAACAACAAAGCAGCTTATTTATATACCGCTTCATATCACGCTATGGGATGTCTAAGCGGTTTACAACTGTGAGCTGATTGCCCCCCAACAAGCTGGGTACTCATTTTAGCGACCTCGGAAGGAGGCAGGCCTGAGTCGAGCCTCAGCCCTGGCTGGTATTGAACTCGCAACCTTGTGGTCTATGAGTGAGTGGCATAGTGGTTTGAATCCCTGCTCAGCCATAGAAACCCACTGGGTGACCTCGGTCAAGTCACACTCTCTCACTCAGAGGAAAGCAAAGGCAATAACCTCCTCTGAACAAATTCTTCCAAGAAACCCCTATGATAGATTTACCTTAGGGTCATATGTTGGAAATGACTTGCAGGCACACAACAACACAACCCTTCCTAAGAAAGCACAGCCAAGGGTGAGGGATGCTGAGAGTTGCAATCTAAGAATATCAGGAAAGATATTGAAGGGTTTGGCTTCCAGACAATCCGCAGAAGGCTCCGACATGTGGCCTGATCCCTCCCATAGTTCCCAAGAGGAAACAGCTAAGCAAACCACCAGTCTTCCATCATAGATTTTTTTTCTTGCAGAGGCTGGCAACTTCATTAATTTGGAGGACTGCACTGGTCACTTTGCAAACTTCCAGATGCTACCTCTTTCTCTGTTGCAGGAGGATGCCAAATAGGACAGCGATGCTGCACCTTTAGTAGTTGTGTAGAGGAAGCAATTCCAGTAGATGTGGCTTGTCATGCTTGTTGCAGGTGACAAACAACAGTGACTTAAATTCCCTCATCTACACAACCATTAAAGGTACACAGAAGCCTTCTGTGTTTTTTACTCAGGCAGCTCTAATGCGAACAGATCAAAACAGTTTATGAGATAGAAACAAAATTTTATTCACTTGCTATTTGGGGGTTGTCTTTCACTGGGTGACCTTAGGTAAGTCACAGTCTCTCAGCCTCTGGAGAAGGCAAAGGCAACCCCCTCTGAACAAATCTTGGCAAGAAAACCCCATGATAGGCTTGCCTTTGGGTCGCCATAAGTTGGAAATGACCTGAAAGCACACAACAACAACAACTATTTGAAATATCTGGGGGACACCAAGTGTATTGATGGGCTCTGTTGTAAAATTAGAATTTGCAGTTCTTTGCTGTGTTCTGGCAGTTGCAAAACATGAAAAACAATCTGTTAAGGATGACTGCCATAGGGTTGTCATAAACCTGAAATGACTTGAAAGGCAGACGACAAATACATATGTGTCAAAGTACTACTACTACTACTAATAATAATAATAATAAATTTTATCTAATACTCCGCCCCTCTGAAACCAATCTAGATGGCTACAAATGATAAAAAATTACATCATATAAAATTCAAACCCAATACCCACCCCCTTAAAAAGATATTAAATCAAACATTCAAT